CAATAGTCAACAACTTTTGTCCTTTTTGTTTTTAATTTTTTTTTTATAAAAAAACTCAACCAAAAAGGCACTAGTTCCTATTATTCTCAATTCTAAAAACCCTTTTGTCTTCTTCTTTGTTGAATGTTTTTCGCTCTTGATTCTAGTCTTTATATATACATATATGATTATTGTGGTTATTTTTTATTTCTTCAACTAAAAAATCCCTTATCATTCTAAAATCAACAAAAAATTACAAATAATATTAGTATGTATTCGATTATGAAATTAAGGTTATAATTATTTTGTTTAATATTTTGTTTTTATTTGTTAAATGTTGAATGAAGAGAAATCATTCATAATATTCTTTTATTTTCTTAGTTCATATTGAAGCCTAGTTTTTCGTCCATCTTGTTATTTACCGTCTCATTCATAAGTCAATGTAAAAAAAAATTCAAATGTATTAACATTGTTTAGTATAGTCAAATATGTATGTTGTTAGCCTCATAAAAATTACAAATAACATTAGGTATATTTTTATATCTTGAACCCACTTCGTGAAAATCCTGGGTCCGCCACTGGTAATATTGAGGGGGCAAATTTTATAAATGGGTACATAGGGATCATTTTCTTCACACTAATCATTGTAAAAGTCCTTTCTATAGAAAAGGAACAAAGAAAACAAATGAGTGCTCAAATCTTCACCATCTAATTATAATTAACAATTCTAATATTTGTTTTTTTTATTAAGCTCGTCGTACAATAATTGCTTAGAATTATTTATTTCTTCTGTATAATTTGTGGACTACTACAATAAAACGAGATTTACTTTGTGCAAATTTGATAGATAATAAATTTAAATTCTCTCATCAATAATAATAAAAAAATCGATATTACGAAAATGATGTATCACAATAAGTTTAATAATTGTTGGTGGAGCAATATAGTTATAATTGAGGAGTCATCTCACTCTCTGGGCCAGACCAACATGAATAACACTGAATGGTCAGCTTCTTTTCTTGGGCCTATAAAATGCCAATTACTAGAATTGTCAAATAACTTTTTTCCTTTTTTGCACATATAATTGAAATAGTTACTTATTACTCCTATGTTCTATTCCCTTCGTCCACTTTTAGCTATCAAGACATTTTTTTAAAATCAAATAATAAAAATTTTGATTAACATTTTATGATGTATTTTTTCATTATATTAATATGCAAAAAATAGCAATTTATTGTACTTTTTGGGTAGTTTTTGAATATCTAAATTTTTTGTTTTAAATATCGAATTAATGTATTCTAATTTAACTTTCAAAACTAATCAAATTGACTTTCGAAAAGCGTAACATGACAACTAAAAATGGACGAAGGGAATAATATATAAGAATAATTCCGTATGAAGTTTCCTCGAAGGATTGAAATTTATCATATCACTTTTTTTTTCATCGGTGTTCGCTATTCGTAGTGGAGTCCAACTATTTTAAATTCGCGCCGCCTAGGACCCCATTTAGTGGAGTGCTACCAAAGATTTTTTTTATACCCTGAGTTCAAATCCAAAACTTCTAATTAAGAAAGGAACAACTCCATTCACTGCACCACATCATCAAGTCAATTAATAGCTAATTACTCTATATTCAAGCTCATACTATGTAGACAGCACGGTCAACTTAATATTAATTAATCCGTAAACAACTTTCAATACTTTAAAAACATTTTCTCAAAATACAACTTAGCATTTGATTCTTAATTAATCAAATAATTAAACCCAACAACAATTTGACTAGATAATAATAATAATAACATGACATTGATGAATCAGCTCATTCATTACATCAGAAAGACACATAATCAGCAAACCTATAAATCCAACTACAATACTTAACACAGATACTAATTTATAAAAGCAATAAAATATGTTAATTTAAAAACAAAAAAAGAAAAGAAAAATAAACATAACCTAAAAATAAGGTGTATGCAATATGTTGAGAAAACAAAGTACATAATATTTTTTTCAAAAATAAATAAAAATAAACTACCATTCAACCCCATGAAGATTAGCTTTAGATGCCAAATTCTCACCATAATTTTGTGAAAAATTCCCATTATTATAGCTCTGAATAAATTCAGGCCTTGCTAATGAGAATTTTGTAACATTATTATTATTATCATTATAACTAGTACCAATAATATTATTTGTACTAGTTATAATTGGTTCATGTGAAGTTTCATCATTTCTAGCCATGATATTTTTTTCCCCTTCACTTTCTCTATACTTATTTAGATAACCTTTTAAGGGTCCAACATAATTTTCAAACCCTAATGTTGTCATAGCCCATAAAAGGTCATCTCCATTGATGGTCTTCCTCTTCTCTCTTTGACATTTATCCGATGCTTCGCCCGTGATGAAGCTAATGAACTCAGACACACATTCTTGAACGGTTTCTTTGGCTTCTTTGGAGATTTTCGCGTTGGCTGGGAGAGATTTCTTCATGATTCTACTAACATTAGCTATAGGGAGGAACTTGTCTAGTTCTTTAGAGAAGTTATCGGATGTGTTGCCCGATAACGGGCTTTCAACCGGGCTAGTTAGGGTTTTTTTTCCGGTCATGATGATAATGATAATGATGATGAAGTCGAAAGAAATTAAAAGAGGAGATGTGTTGGGAGTTTTTTGTTTTTGTTTTGGGATTTTAGTGTATGTTGGTTTTGGAATATTGAAAGGGAGAGAAGGGAGGCTTTTATGCTTAACAATAGAAGGAAAAATAAACAATAGAAAAAAGAGTGGACAGACGGTTTGATTGGGACGTAAAAATGATATATATTAAATTATGAGTTGATTTTCAAAAGGATGTTGTGGATTTTTTTTTAATATATGTTTATTTTGTATTCGATATCATATTGAAATCCA